TGCCCTAAATATCTTTCTTCTTCTTTCTTTATGTGGCTTGTAAAGGTACTCATACCATGATCCTCCCCATAATGCATGCCGGGTTACTGCCATACAAGAATAGATTTTCACTATATTGTGTAATCCCCTGGGGATCACCTCTCATTTTCAAACTCATTTATCTTTCAATAAACTCAAAAAAACGCGGTAAAATTGTACTGAGGATATATTACGGCGCTGCTGAGCATATTTTCGACAAGAGAAAAGGGATATAAAAATTGTGATTCTTCCTTTTTTTTAGCTCGCGAGCAGAGGTTCATCGACAGTCTCGTTATCTTGAGATTTCACTTATATCTAGTATAAACATGTGAAGCAGTGCCGTAGTATATCAGTACATTTTAGCGCGTTTGCATTGAGTTTTCAGAGAGACAAATAAGTTTGAAAAAGAAATGTGATCCCCTGGGGTCCCCAAGGGACCCCAGGGGATCACATTTCTTCACAAAATAATAAATTTCTAATTTTGTATGGCAGTACCCTGGCAACCATTATGCGAAAGTATTCAGGGTATGAGAACCTTCGTAACCCAGATAGAAAAAAAGAAGAAGGAGTATCTAGAGTAGCGAGATATGACGCGTCCCTCCTCAGATCCTTTCCCCTCCCCGCGAGGATGTACGTGCATACGGGCCTTAGGTAGGAGCAAATAGGGCACCTGAACTCTGAAAAAGTTTGATTATTTCTACTTCAGTTTCGAAATGGTCATTTTATCTAAAAGATGGCTTCTCAGGTGGCATTTTGATAAAAATATGAAGCCAAAATTTGAGAAGATTTTTGGGAAAGGTACGGAGTCTCTGTCCAGTTACTTGAACCTCAAAAAGAATTGTATAAGTGTCTAACAAGTAAAGAGATTGAGTTGCTCTGGCTCAGAGTGGAAATGTATATCATTAAGGTATGTTTGGAACACTGACAATGTATCTGCTTTCCAAATTTGCGAAATATTAGGTCATTCGGAAAGCTTTTTCGCTTTTTGCATTTTGAGATGCCAGAGGGCTGATAGGGATCGCTATACATGGACCCGTAGAGGAATCCTTTTAGTTTCTGAGGATCTCGCCAAAGTTGCAGAAAGCGTTTTATAGGAAGGTTTACACGGCCCTAAATTCGGCATATGAAAACGCGATCTTCGAATAATTGCATTCTCTAAATTTTAACTTGAGTGTAAGACAGTTGAGGAAACCATCATTGTGCGCAGTGCATTTGCCAAGGGTCGTCTTTCTTGGGATAGGTTTAAGATTACATCAAAAAGTTCAGATCTAATGAAATGAGAGCTAATGTGTTGAGTGTTTTGGAGGATGTTCCTGCTATATGAACGAGCATCCTAAAGGGTTCTTTGGAACAAATGCAAACATAGCTGCGTAAAATTATCAGCAGAACTCGAAGTGTCATGTAGTTCATTAGAAGCCACCTTCGCTAAAGCTGCGATACCGAAGAATTTCAGTGACATATACCCACAAATTGTCGCACTCGCAGATTTAGGGCGTGTTGACTCTGCTTTCGTTGCTCTTACAGGCAGTGGACAGGCAAAATGGACCCCTGTCAAATTTTGGTAGTTTCGGGTAGTGGACCCCCCAAGTACACCGTAGCCCCAACCCCAACTTCCAATTGATGCGCTAAGTCCTGAAAAAAGCGCTTCAAACTTCCACCAATAACGCCCACTCAATGCAAGTGGGCGGGGCTGGTGGAGTTTTGAAGCGCTTTTTTCAGGACTTAGCGCATGAATTGGAATGTGGGGTTGGGGCTACGGTGTACTTGGGGGGTCCACTACCCGAAACTACCAAAATCTGACAGAGGTCCATTTTGCCTGTCCGCTGCCTTTAATTAATAGAGCAATCCCTTTTTGACCTGAGCTATTAATCACCGCAAAAAATGGCCAAGTACGGCTAGCAGAAGCGATATCGCGGTAAATCAATTGGAGAGCATTGAAAGCATGGTCATAAAAAATCAGTCATCATAAGGCTGATGTACTCAAATTAATGTAATCCTGCTGGTCTTGCATGCTATAAACTGGCTAAGATGCGATTGTACTATAAGAACAGAGTAGTGTGATATCGCTTTAAGGCCGTTTGTCAAAATTGTCAAACTGAGCAGAGTTGCACGTATAAGCTATGACAGATGCCATCCTCGCCCAGGACGCCGCACTTTCGCAAGAAAAAACTACAAGAGCACTATAAGAACGTCACCAGAAATTTGCTGAACACAATGAAATTTATTTGATCGAAAAAGATCGAATCTGGAACAAAATTGTGCTCGTTTGATTTTGAAGGTGCAAAAACGAAGAAACTTTCCGAATGACCCAGTAGTTTAGTGAAAGAAGCTACGAATTTGTAGATTTGCAGATTTACCCTTGTTCAAAGCCAAATCAAATATTAGTAGTGTTAGCATAGTTTAGTTTTACGTGATATCAGTCATTTTCGGCATGGTTACATTCCGAAACACTTTCTGCAGCAGTAATAGTGCATAACTATGCGTATACGCTTGTACAAGGACTCTAAAATTCCAGCAGCATGCAGGCTAATACAGTGCTGGCCAAAATTATAGGTCCACTCTAAAAAATGCCATAACTCACTCTGTTATGAATGAAATTTTCCAAAATTTGGTAGAGACGTGTGTTTACCAGCCTACTATCAGTCTTTAAGACGGTTCTCGTTTTCGTTTGATTATTCAAGAAAAAATTAGAAATTTTGAAAAAAGCAGGCTTGAAGGCTGGCCAAAATTATAGGTCCACGTGGAGTTTTTACTGATTAAAGCACTTCTTAGCTCCCGAATTTTTTTAGGTAGGCACACATCCAAAAACGTTAAACAGCTGCATTGGTCAAGCTGTGTCATACCTCCAAAAAGAACTGATTATCTGCTTTTTTGCCTTGAAGATGCACTCACATGTATTTCGCTCCACAAACCTGCGTTGAGTAAGAAATTCTGCAGTTTCTCAGCTGGATCGGAAGGGACGGGGTTTCATCTACTTCTGGATGCTTTTTGACGTGAGCATTGAGGAAAAAATCGACTTTTTGCTGCTGAAGCAAATCTGATATTGACAGTACTGCAATCCTGAGCTCAAGTTTCTGTCTTCAAACTTCTTTTACAATGTTCTCAGAAGCATTGAGGAAAGTAAAGGCATTGTTCCTATGAAGGGGAGTCCGTATACCACAGATACAACTTTCTAGAGATCCTAGCATTCGAGTATAATTACTGAAATCACTCTGCAGAAACTGATTACGACAAGACGAAAGCTACTTGTGGCTCCGACCAAAATTTTCAGAAGAATCATGTGCTAACATACACTACAAGCTGTATCCACTATCTAGTAAATAATTACTGTCAAAAATCTAAGTGAGGTAGCACTTGAAAGCTATTTTGGATCGCGTAACACCATTATTACGTTGCACACACAACTCATATTTCGAAAAAAAAGCAAGGCAGCTTTGTGGACAGCGAGTATGGCGAACAGCTTTATTCTCGTGTAAAAAATGCTTCTACAATATCTTGAGGTTATAATGACAATGCAAAAAGGGTTTTAGGGCAAAAAGTGAGGCTTACTCTGCCGATTAAGCCGATGTCAGATTTGCTTCAGCAGCAAAAAGTCGATTTTTTCCTCAATGCTCACGTCAAAAAGCATCCAGAAGTAGATGAAACCCCGTCCCTTCCGATCCAGCTGAGAAACTGCAGAATTTCTTACTCAACGCAGGTTTGTGGAGCGAAGTACATGTGAGTGCATCTTCAAGGCAAAAAAGCAGATAATCAGTTCTTTTTGGAGGTATGACACAGCTTGACCAATGTAGCTGTTTAACGTTTTTGGATGTGTGCCTACCTAAAAAAATTCGGGAGCTAAGAAGTGCTTTAATCAGTAAAAACTCCAGGTGGACCTATAATTTTGGCCAGCACTGTATGTATATGTAATCTCAAGCATTTACCACAGCTTGCATATGGGACTTCTACTGTCATGCACAACAGGAGCATAGTAGAGAAAAGGAACTTTGAAATGCACAAAGAAAGTTACTCTGCGTTTTCACGCTATAGTGCGCACACTTTACCAAGTTTTTCGCAAAGCTGTCTTTTACGCTTAGCAACACCTTTGCCTGCTTCCTCACAAAAAATTCGTCCACAATCACTCTAATGTTTTGTACCGGTAAATACCTTACAAGTGCGAGCATTCAAGTGCCTCGAGAACAATAGTCAGGTTAATGAAGCGACTTATTACACTCTGTAGACAAACAAGTCGAAGGAAAGAAAGGGCGTTTGGCGTTGTTAGAGCTTATGTGAAACAAACACGAATATGTTAAAACTTTGAATTAATATTACACAAATATCAATACCCAAGTTCAAGTAATGTGTTTGAAAACATTGCGTTGATTTTTCAAAAAACTTCTTGCTTTCCATCTCAAAAATACATTTTGAGGATCTAAACTCGTATAACAATCGGCTTTCAAAGGAAGGAAACGTTCAGTCTCAAAATTCACTTGGTAAACTAGAGGTAGCCATGGGGAACATAACAGATATGCTTTAGGGTCTCCAAAGGTTCTCAATATACATAGATGTGCAAGGTAAGAAACGCAGGAAGTTCAGTCACGAACTACAGTTAAGAAGGTTTTTGAGGAAAATTATTACTGCTGCAGAGCGGAACCCAATGATGGCTAAAATTTCTATGCTCGTGATGTGAATAAGTAGAGCTATTTGATGCCCTATCTAAAATTGAGTTTTTTCATCCATTGTTTAGACTGAAAACTTTCACATTCTTGAAGTTATAAAAAATTATTAAGAAAGCTGTTCAAGGAATAATGTAAAAATACTCAGCTGATAACGGCATCTTTGTGGATAGCAATACGGGCGCTAACAATCTAAACACTTCATTATTTTTTTAGGCCGTGAGAAAAAGTTCAAACTACTCTGAGAACCAGCTCACTACTTAGCAAGTCATTATAAAAGGAGTGTGAGTTAGCGTCAAGCATCCACGGTCCGAACTTCTCTAGAAAATGGGTATCGAGAAAGGCTTAGTGGCTGCGTCAACTGTTGCTGCTGTTCTGGCTATGATTGCTTGTACAATCTTTTATCCAGCATTGTTCAGAGAAATCCATGAAGTACATGATATGGCGAGTGCTATGATCTATATTTTTTTGTCCTACAGTAACATATCTTGTTCAGGTTCTTGATGGTGTAGCTGTGTTCCGCACGGAGACCGACTCAGCATGGGTGGAGATCAAGGATGTGCAGCTGATGATCTCGCCAGAGTATGAACGCCAGAAAAACCCATTCTCGATATATCGTCGAAAAAGGCAACTTCAATCTCTTCCACCATGGTGTGTTTGCGAGCTAAGCCCAGTGACTTGCCCACCTGGACCACCTGGACCACAGGGACCTCCGGGAGCCCCAGGTTAGTAATTTTCGTCCATCCCCCACAGTATAGCGGGCGGAGTTTTGCCGAGGTTTGCCAACGTATGCGCATGGCAGTTTTCGATAGCTAGAGAGTGCAAAAACTAACGTGCAAAAAAAGTGCAAAGAAAACTAAAACTAATTTCAAAATAGAGGTTCAGCAAGTTTCTCAACGTGTTCAAATGTCTGTACGGCCATGTCCGCTACACGCAAGGGAATCGCCTATATCATTTAATTGTCATGATATTATCAATCATTTCTAGGAATACCTGGAATGCCCGGTCCAAAAGGAAGAGACGATACGACAGTGTACGCACCAATTCAGTGTCCTCCTCCAGATCCCTCATGTATCAAATGCCCTCCAGGACCACCAGGACCCCCAGGACCGCCTGGGGCAGCTGGATTACAAGGAATGATGGGTCGGCCTGGCGAGCCTGGGCCGAAAGGCAACAGTGGCCCATCTGGACCTCCGGGTCCTCCTGGAGAAGCTGGACCTGGTGGTCCACCTGGACCTAAGGGAATACCTGGAAAGAAAGGCAAAGATGGAGTTCGAGGTGTAGGGCTACCTGGACTAGCTGGGCCTCGAGGTCCTGCCGGAATGTCCGGCAAAGCTGGCGCTGATGGTAAACCAGGCATACCCGGAGAACCAGGTCCCTCTGGCCCAGCCGGTCAAGATGGTTCACCTGGAATGAAGGGACCCGACGGACTTCCAGGGGGACCAGGAAGGATGGGTCCTCCGGGTAAAAATGCCCATTACTGTCCTTGTCCTGCTCGAGGGGTAGATATCTCTCCAGAAGTGCCGCCCTTTGGTCATACTGGCGGTGCAATCCCGCCACCTGCTGTCCCTCAGCCGTCGCCGTATTATCCTAGCGGTGGTCCGGTTGCCTCTCCCCTGCCAGCTGCCACATCTCAACCGCCGTATTATCCTGGTAATATCGCTCCCCCTCCAGCTGTCGCTTCTCCTCCACCTCCTCAACCGACGCAGTATTATCCTGAAGGTGCTCCACCTGTAACTACCCAGCCAGCACCGTATTATCCTAGCCGTGAGCCACCTGTGGCTCCCCAGCCAGCACCGTATTATCCTGATCGGGCTCCACCTGTCGCTTCGCAGCCACCTTACTACCCTGAACGTACTCCAACAAGTCCACAGGTTGTTTATATAGAAACGATGAATGGAGCAGGGATGGGTTATGGAAGAAAATTTGTGAGGAGGATGAAGAAGAAGCTGAAGAAAAATTGAATCCGTAATTTAATGTGGTTTTTATTTATGAAAATTGAAGTTTTGTGATAAATTTTTAAAGTCCTTGACCTTTCAGTCTGCAAACCTGAGCCTTTCAATTATGTTAGCCCAGTTATATTTCTATTACTCTGATATCAATCTTCCACAAGATTTCATACTTCATTAGTGTCAAATGTCAACTTCTCGGGTTGGTGAGCTGATAAAGGAAAACGTGAATAATGCAGGATTTTCCATTTATGTTGATTAGAAAGCGAAGCGCAGCCCTCAGTTATTTGCTGGGTCGTTGGCAATGAGGTAATCCGTCAGAATTTATCCAAATTGCGGCGCATGCAAGTGTAAGTGTTTGATTGTTGAAACTTTGTGAATTTTTCGAAACTCCTTATCATTGCTTGATATACTAACTTTTTATAAAATATATTGGAGAATTTTTGTTGTTTAGTGGCTTTCCACGCTTTAGCATGCTTCGCATAAGCAAAGTTGTGAGCAACTGAAGCCTGCAGGATGCCAAAAGAGTATTGTGTTTCAAAGAAAGTAATTTAATTGGTGGATTTCCAAATTTTTCTGGTAAATTTGACACTAAACACATGAGTGGACGTATTCTATCCTTTTACAAAAGTTCGACTCAAAATTCTGCAAATTCAGTCTATGGCGGATGCCTTATCGCAACGCGTCCCATACCATCTCATGCGACTCTTTATCAAGTGTGAAGAAAGTCGAAGATTTTTTGGAAAATTTTTTAGTTTATATTGTGGATTTGAGATGAGATTTTTTTACTGCTTACGGAATGTGGTGATGACCTCAAAATGTCTTGAAATCGGCCAGTCCGCAACTGCATTAAAGGCAGTGTCCGGGCAAGAACTCGATTTTGAGATTTTGTGCTCGGGCCTATTCGCTATGCTGAATCCGAAAATCCACATTGGAGAGCGCGAAAACGACGAAAAACGGCTCTAACAGTGGAGGGAAGTCAACAAGTGGGCGGGGTCTTCCCCACTGTGAATTCACGCTTCCAGCTTCCAGAGAAATTTTCTCGAATCCCTTAGCCGCATTGACATCACTACCGATCAAGTGCAAACGAATGACTTGAAACCGGAATCAAAAAGATCGCTCCCGAAGCTGGGAGCGTGAATTCACCGTGGGGAGGACCCCGCCCACTTGCTGATTTCCCTCCAGTACTATAGCTCTTTTTCGGCGTTTTCGCGCTCTCCAATGTGGATTTTCGGATTCAGCATAGCGAATAGGCCCGGGTAAGCACAAAATCTCAAAATCGAGTTTTTGCCCGGACACTGCCTTTAAAGGCAGTGTCCGGGCAGAAACTCGATTTTGAGATTTTGTGCTTACTTGGGCCTATTCGCTACGCTGAATCCGAAAATGCACATTGTAGAGCGCGAAAATGGCGAAAAACGGCTCTAACACAGGAGGGAAATGAGCAGGTGGGCGGGGCCCTCCCCACTGCGAATTCACGTTCCCGGCTTCCGGAGCGACCTTCTCGCTTCCGGTTTCAAATCAATCATTCGCACTTGAGCGGTAGCGATGTTAGGACGGCTAGCGGAATCGAGAAAATCGCTCCGGGAGCCGGGAGCGTGAAATCGCACTGGGGAAAGCCCCGCCCACCTGCTGATTTCCCTTCTGTGTTAGGGCCCTTTTTCGCCGTTTTCGCGCTTTCTAATGTGGATTTTCGGATTCAGCACGGCGAATAGGCCCGTATAAGCACAAAATCTCAAAATCGAGTTTCTGCCCGAACACTGCCTTTAAGAGAGAACTTGTGACTTCGCAGCAAAAAAATGTTGCATGGTGCGATCGCAAAAAACTGGAATAGAGACTACGTACAATTGTTTATTATCCAAAAATCACGATGTAGACAGATTCAAATTCTTGTAATTATTTATGTTATCATATGTTGGAATTTGGGATCCTTCTAGTTTGAATCCAGTTCGTAAGCAGAGCAGCTGCGACTAGCCTTTCGAGAATTTTTGCGATTCGCTTAAGATATTAATCTTCTTGTTTAATCAGAATCTCAAGTCACTACTCTATAAGTAATATTAAGTATGGAATTTTAAAGTAGAGATTATGTTCCACGTACCTCCTTAGTCGAATTTGATATCAACTTCGTGGTATGTTAACGGCCCAAAATTGTGCTCAAATGATGCGTGCATCGCCGATGATCCTACTCGCTGTTATCACTCGTTTGAATGGAAAGAAGGTAGGCTTCTCGAAATCAAGCTCATCATAGTCTGATCACTGAAGCTTCGCCTGTAAGAGTTGAAAAATAAATTTTTTTATCTGTAAGGTTTATGGAGGCACACTGAGGGACAATACTTTTTCCGCATCCTATATAATGATATAACGTTTGTCTCATCAACAGGACTATTGCTTGTCTGTATTTCTCAAAAGTATATTCTGAAAATCAACAACCGCCAACATTATTCATCGACCAACATGGAATTTGAAATGTTGAAAAATTTTCCTAACATTCTTGGTTGTCCAGGTTGAAATTATGCAGATTCTATGATATATATATATACAAGAATGCACATTCAAGGCTTATTCAGGCAAGGCTTGAGACACCCGGATATTGGTTTTGACGCTGCCGTAGTCCTGCTGTAAAATTTCGCAAAGCTTTGGAGAAGAATCAGAACTAGCGACCACGGTAAAAAAAGCGACGACAGTCCTGTAAGTAGGGCGGATGCCGATCTTGTCTTTTGGAACAAACTTAGGGTCTCCACTCAAATGTCTATTATAAAGAAACGCTGAAGCAATTGGTTCAACTTCTTTTAATTGCAGCTTTTTCTGAGCAAAGCTCTATTCTTTAAGAGCCGAGTGTGTCATGTTGTCCGAGATTAATATGCTGGAAAAGCGTTTATTGAGGTGGTGAGTACAAAAATAGAGAGCGTTTTGATGTTTTCAAGAACCTTTGGCACTCAAAAGGTAAAAACATTCTTCTTGAAGTGAATATACTACGTTTGCACTAATTGAGGTAAGAGTGATACTAGATAAACCTTTATCTATGAGATGCAGGAAATTCGTGCTATATATGTCAAGGCCTTATCACATCGGACGATTTTTTCTAAATATTAGGTTGGCTAAAAAATAAGTTCGGTCGTTTTTAGCAGTTTGCAGAATTGTCACAAATCAGTTTTTGTGTGTACATGTGGCACCACTGGAAAGAGCAGATCAAGAAGAATCGGATGGTTAACTCTGTTTTCTCAAAAATAAGTTTTCTGATAATGAACTGGTAGGAAAGAAAATTGGTCGGGTTTTTTCCTCAAAATTTCGAAAAATCACCCTCCGAAAAACGAACTGACTAGGTGTAAAGTGTAGATTCGCTACCGACACAGCAAATTTTCAAATTTCCAATCAATTGCATGGCCATAGATGGCCAAATAGTTATCTGGAATGCCCAAAATTTGACCTTCACGCGTAAATACCTAGAAATTTTCACATTTTGCACTGCAAAAATTCGGAAACAGCAGTTTACAATCTCTGTTGTGGTTCGCCACCTGGCCAAAGGCTTTATGTAACCAACCACCAAGTTACTCGCCTGTGTACTCATTGCAGGCTGAGAACGAAAGTTGGAAAGTCAAAAAAGCGACTTTTTAGAAGTCTGAACATATAGGGCTATAACCAGGGTTGAGCGTGGGGTCAGGCGCGCCCGACCTGGGGGGTCGTACTGTGGTAAGACAGAGGGGGGGGGGTCGTGATTAGGAATCGAATTTGTTCGATTGAGGAGATACTACGATTAAGGTGAAGAAGAAAAGCGCTAGTTTAGTGGATATCGCGACCTCACCAGTACTGAAGGAATGAACGGTCTTAAACAGCATACTGATTGATTCCACAATTGAAGTTTCGGCCAAAACTCAAATCTTCATCTTCTACCTTGACAAATTATAAATTCATCAAGGAAGCTTGCTGTGTGAAAGGGTATCATTTCCGAGCACGTCAAATTACCTCTATGAGCCCTACAAACCATTATTTACTGCATTATCTAGTGTTTCTCAACGACTAAAAAGCGTGATTTTCAAACATGATTAACTTGTTCTCAAAAGTGAGAAAAGTCAATTTTTTTTGTACTCGTAACAAAGTATTGTTCCCTACTAGTCTAGGCTAAAAATCGCGCTTTGTACCACTTGCAAATAGTGGAGTAAGAAATAATGCCAAAATTCCGACCGGCGCGTTTTTCGCCATGACTGCTTCAACTCCACGGATTACCACAAGGCCGAAACAAGTCGAATCAAGTCCAAACACTTACTGTGGAATCTTCGAGGGTTGTGCTAGCGATTCACATAAAACTTGAATAAAAAAGCTTCTTCAATGATAAAGCTAATCGGGTCAGGCGCAACCCCACAAAAGGTCAGGCCGCCTGAGCTTTTAAGGGGTTGCGCCTGACCCGATTAACTTGTTTTCAAAATCTAAAAATCGCTCCATTTCTGCTATGAGTATTGAACTCAAAGCATCTTCTTGCAATACTGCAAATTTGGAGCCAAACAATACACCCCTGTGGGACTTATAGCTCTAAAAGTAGGGCTATCCAAAATCCAAAACTTGCCGTCAAGTTGCGTGTGCTGTGCAATCGCAGAAAGTCGACCTACAGACCTCCAAAAAACAAGAACCTCCCAAAAACGGCTGATCTCTTCGAATTATCACAGCCTGAGGTCCTGGAGGTGAAGCAAAGGGGTCGTTTAGGGGCTTTCACTGGGGGGGGGGGGTCGTTTTGGAAAGACTTGTGCCTGACCTCTTGCTCAACCCTGGCTATAACTGTCATTATTTTGGTAAGCTGAGATGTCTATTTGTCTGTCTGTCTTGTCTATTTGATATTTTTGAGTGTGAGACTTAGGGCCATTTTCTCACGAAAAATCTTAGCTGGAGAGCTGTTACGTGAATTGTTATGAAGCTTTGAACTTGCATGTCAAAACGGACTTATTTATTAGCCAACCTAATAATTTTTTGATTGAGTTGTATCTTATGCTGGGCTGAGAACCTTCTTGTCGAAAGTTGTCGAATAA